GATCCCGAAGATTGACTGTAATGGCCTTCCAAAGATAGCATTGTATGCTGACTCCGACTTCATGACAATAAACTGGATGGAATGTGTGGCTTGTCGGGGGAATTCTCCCAGCACAATGGGAAGACTTATCATTCCTTCCACTCATACAGGTCGATTATCAAATTCATATAGCGGGCCTGCAGCGGGTTGGAGCTTCTCTCGAGCGAGGCTCATGTTGAGAAATGTGGAGTAGAATAGAATATCTACGGAGCTCCCGTTGTCGATTAAGATCCTTTTGACTTTGTAGCATGGGTCACCGATCCCTGCGCTTATTACGAGTGGGTCTTGATGAGGGGTATTTATTCTCTCTAAGTCAGAATCATCGAAAGTAATGGAATGATCGGCACGAGACTTCTTTGGTGTTGGTTCTTTAGTGGCCGCAATCAAGACTTGACTTGGCATTATAGGCCACCCTGGCAATAGTTTCAATTTCACCAACTATTTGTCGATTGTCAATCGACTGCCTTTGTTGTCGATTCTGCCCCTCAGCCGGAGCATCATCATCTCGTACCGGTGGATTCTTAATGAATTGTCGGAGATATCCTTGTCGAATCAGTCTTTCGATTTCTTCCTTGAGCTGTCTACATGCTTCGGTAGTATGCCCACGGCTTCGGTGGAAGTGGCAATATTGCTCCTAGTTTCCGACATTGGGCTTCAAAGGTTGTGGCCACTTTACGCTCTCCTGGTCTCGGATGGCCATCAATACATTTTCTCGGGATACATTAAACGGTGTGTACTCCTCTTGGCGAGGCTCTCGTCGTGGCTGTGAGGGCTGAGGGGGAAGATTATATTCCCTTGTTTCTTCCGCTGTGAGGATGGATTCTCCATTCCTTGTGTACTTTTTCGCTTACCGGTTGTTTGTTCAAATTGCTTCCTGTGAGCGTTAATGGCTTCGTCTACATGATGGATCAGGTCCGCATATGAATGGACCGCATCTCGCATGAGTGCTGAGTAAAAGGGACCAGGACGAAGCCCACCGAGGAGAACTTTTATTACGTCCGTTGTAAGGACGTAGACGAACGTCAAGTTGGAGCCAAAATCCCGCCAAAAAACTCGGTATTTGCTCGGTACAACTAGGTATTATTTGATATTAATGAGAAATACCACTCTTTGAAGACCAATACCGAGTTATACCGAGCTGTACCGAGAAATACCGAGTTGTACCAAGTTTTTCCTAGAAAAACTTGGTACAACTTTTGTATAACTCGGTATTTCTCGATTTAGCTCGGTATAACTCGGTATTGGGTCTTAAAATGATGGTATTCCTCGTTATTGTTTGGTATTGCTCGGTATTTGCTCAGTATAACTCGTTTTTTGGCGGGATTTGGCCTCCGACCGGACGTTCCTCTGCGTCCGGTCGGAGGACGTAATAATTGTTCCTCCGAGGAATACGCCTCTAAGTAACTCAGGAACTACCCCTGGAATTTGTCGGGCCTCAATAAAAAATCTTTGAAAGTACTCCTTGAGGGACTCATTTTCATTATGGCGAATTCTTGAGAGGTGGGAAGAGTCTTTGACCATCCTCCGATTGGCAACAAAATGTTCGACAAATATTTTGGCTAATTTGACGAACATTGGGATAGATTCGGCGGGGAGTAAGTAGAACCATGTTCGAGCTTGCCCTTTAAGGGTAGTTGGGAAGACTTGGCATAAAAGCGCATCAGAGGCTTGTTGGATGTGCATTATGGTTCTATAGTGATCAATATGTTCGTACGGGTCAGATGTCCCGTCGTATGAATCGATGTTCGGCAGTTTGAACCTTGCTGGAATAGGGTGTTGAAGGATGGCTTCAATCAGGGGTGATGACTCCTGAAAATCTCTCTGACGAAGAGATTGTCTTATATTTCTAATGGGGAACTCCTCTCGGACTAGTCTTCGTAATTCATGCCGTAGGGCATTACGGGAGAGTTCGGCGATGTGGCGCCGAGCTAAGTCTTCGGGGGCATCCAGAGGAATATGATGCTGGCGGCCTGTCCGCGAAGGATGTGTAGAGCTTGTTGTGTCAGCAAGCTCATTTTCTGGATGTATTGGAGGGCGCATTCTTGGCGGTGGAAGGGGAACTTCGACATGAAGAACATCTTCAAATTCCGGTGGGTCTCGAGAAAGAAGTATATCATCATGAGGTGCTAGTGCCGGTCCTCGAGTCTCTCGTAGGAGTTGAAGAATCTCATTTTACGAGTCCTCCATCTTTCTGATACGATCTTCCAGGGATGGTCTTGAAGTTCCTTCTCCGGCAGGGTTTTGACCGCCAGGGTGAAAAGAGGCAGATGTCTGGCGTCCTTGATTCAGGGACTGATTTCAAGATTGATGTGAATTGGAGCGGGAGGCTCCTAGAATGCGATTATTACGCCTGTTGACCATGGCGGTGATTCTTTTAGGATAGTGGGATTATTGTTTCCCACAGACAGCGCAAAACTGTTGCGGACTAGAATATACGCGGCGATAGAGTTAGAATACTACGTCTTAGCGTTGCACGAATATCCAGTTCACACACAGAGAACACAGGATTTTTTTACGTGGAAAACCCTAAAAAGGGGAAAAACCACGGGGCCTAGCCGAGTTGAAAAGGTTTCACTAGAACTTGAGTTGGTTACAATGGGCTGACTCGCTTATGTGAGCGATCAGATTACAAGTAACAATTGTACAATAGAAGTCAGGATGTCAGGTAATGGTTTTGCAGGACTTCGACCTTAGATGATGATCTGGAAGAACTTCGGGCCTTAAATGAAGGTCTGGCAAAGGTGAGAGTCTTCAACGGTGGCCTGACAAAGATGAGAGCTTCAAGTGAAGGACTGGCAGAGCGTAGAGCATCAGGTAGTGATTCAGCGGAGCGACGGTGTTAGGCGGTAGTCCGGTGGAGCACAGGGCGTCGGGTGGTGGTCCGGCGGAGTGACAGCGTTAGGTAATGGTCTGATGGAGCACAGGGCGTCAAGTGGTGGTCCGGCGGAGTGACGGCATTAGGCGGTGATCCGGTGGAGCATAGCGTCAGGTGGTGGTCCGGCGGAGTGACGGCGTTAGCGGTGATCAGTTGGAGCACAGGGCGTCAGCTGGTTGTCCGGTGGAGTGACGGCGTTAGTCGATAGTCCGATGGAGCACAGGGCGTCAGGTGGTGGTCCGACGGAGTGACAGCGTTAGACGGTGGTCCGGTGGAGCACAGGGCGTCAGGTGGTGGTCCGACGGAACTCCGGCAGTGGTCTGGCGAAACTCCGGCGGTGGTCGAGGAGGCTGGGAAGCAAGAGCGATATCCGATCTCTCACTTTTTTCCTTAGGCTCAGGGGTCCTTTTCCAAGAGGAGAGGGGGCTCTATTTATAGATTTTGAGAATGGCATGGCCCGTAAATAGGTGGAGGATCAAGGGTTAGTTGAGAGTGGTTGAATGGATGGTCGATCTTGAATCCCTTGATCATGAACCGTTCGATGGACTTTTGAATGTCGTAGTGATATCAGAATTCAGTGATCTTGGGCTCGTTGGATTCATCTCGTCGAGCCGCTCGATTCGGCTATAAGTTTGTTATGTTTGGAAGCCGTTTGGTAGTCTGAATTGTGGTTTGAACTTTCCAACAGCGCTTCGAATCCTTGATTTTGATCTATTTGGGCTCGGATTGGGTCGAATTTGGTGTCGTTGGGTTCGTATTTTCGAGACGCTCAGTTCGAATGTAAGTTTGCTGAAATCGAAGTTTAGATGCTCCTGATTTTGATTTCGGAAGTTTCCAACTTGATTTTGCTTTGAGATTAGTGCCCGATCAAGATAATTTTTGTACGATGTATCAAGCTGCAACCGTGGAGCTTTGTCTAAGCCAAGTTAGAGCTTCTGACGGGTTTTTGTATTCGTTTAGACCAAAATGGAGAAAGACAGCTTTGGTGAACTCATCCCATGCAAGTGTTCCACAAAAAATTTTTCAATCAAGTATGCTAGCTGAACTTATTGGTTAGAGGCAATATTTTTAAAGTCAAAATATTGTTTTGCTTTATTGACCCACCCCTGTGTGTCCTTACCGTTGAACCTTCGAAAGGACATTTTGAGGTGTTGGTGATGATGGTCGTTGTTGATGTCGGAACAAGCAACATGTGGCGAATGCGAGGATTCTCTTGGATCAAATGGGTTGATTTCGAGGTTTATGTTATGTGTATTCCGGGAAGCTTGTAGCGCTTGGAGCTTAGTTAACACTATTTGAAGGGTAGAATTAACTTGATCAAAGCTAGACTCATGTCGTGCTAAGATCTTGATGACTTCATTGCAGAATTTAGCATTTGTTTTGCCATGAGCGTCCATGTTTGGACCTGGCTCTGATGCCAATGATACGAATAATTTTTTGACAGAGGTAGAAGAAAATTGGGAAACAAGAGAGATGGGAATTTCCTTTTTAACTGAACTCCCTCCAGTTTCTATTTATAATTATATATATAGAATAGCTTGACAACACTAACAATGTTAAGAAGGAAAAAAACCAACTAACCCAACTAACAAGGAAAAAAACAAATTGACCCCGCTGACATTAAACTGTCAGCCGTCGTGGGCTTTCAACATGGAATAATCTAAACGACTAACTAACTAAATTAGACAATGTCCCTCTACTTATCCATATTTTCCACTTCCTGCAGTGCATGAGAATATGAGGGATGGCTTCACGTATCAGTAAGTTTGATGAATTTCAATAATTATTGTAAATGGGATATAAATTTCAAGATCTCCAATAATTTTTGTCATTTTCTGGATGCTTAAAATGCATTTCTTGAGCTTTTCATTACTTGTCATTTTCTTTAATTCATCTCATTTGTGTCTGCTTGCTATTGTCCGCCCATCTAGTGCTTTTTTATGTAACAGTTTTAGGATTTGAAACAAGGTTTAGTGGAGTTGATTATTTCGTTTTGCCATTTTTTTCTTTTGCTCTTGGATTATATAAGTGATTTGAATTTCCAACGACCGAACATGCAACTATTCTAATTTTCTATCCTTTCAAGGAGCTTGCTGATTTGGAATATAAGAGCAAAGTAGATGGAAAAATGCATGCTTGTGGACATGATGCTCATGTAGCGATGCTACTTGGTGCAGCTAAGTTGCTTCTACAACTGAAGAGTCATCTAAAGGTATAATCAAAATTATTTGCCATTGCTGCTTTCAAGTACTCGTTATTGAGCTTTTTTCTCAGCAAATAATTATTTTTCTTTATCCATAAGTGGAAATGGTTTCTTGTTTCACTGTAGATCATTTAAATGATAAGAATATAGATGTTGAGGGCTGGCCAAAAAATAGCTTCATCAATTCACTCTTAAATGTCACAATCAATTTTGATACCACATTTTTTGCTTCTGTATATGGGATGGAAGGTTTTGATGGCTGTACATAGGGGTGATATCAAGTTAGAACGAGTTTAAACTCAAAATCTAGGATTTTGATTTCGACTCATGCTAAGTTCATATCAAGTCAACAAAATTTTTTTTTGATTCGAATAAAATCTATTGATTTGTATTAACATATCTATAAATATATGCTCATCTTATGTTGAGTCGATTTCTAATTGAATCAACCTTATTTCAAATGAGCGATCTTCGAATCAGAGCATATCAATTTTGAATTTGAGTCAATTAAAATTCAATCAAATATTGAGCAAGTTTCAAGCTTCTAATGAAATTACCAACCCTAGTTGTACATCACATTAGTCACCAATTAAGAACTTCTTATCATTGTAAAGCTAGACATTAGTCACACTTCGTGCAACACATGAATGCATTTTGATACCTCAATTTCCATGCTCTTTGTGTTTTGGATGCTGACTGTTCTCTTACTTCCTTTTGAAGGGCACTATAAAGCTTGTTTTCCAACCTGGAGAAGAGGGCTATGCTGGTGCCTATTATATGCTTGAAGAAGGTGCTTTGGATGATGTACAGGCCATCTTTTGTATTCATGTTGACCATACTCTCCCTACTGGTTCTATTTCTTCTAGTCCTGGAACTTTTCTTGGGTCAGGAGATACTTTTGAGGTAGTTATTAAGGGGAAAGGTGGGCATGCTGCAACACCACACAAAACTGCAGATCCAGTGTTGGCTGCTTGTTTTGCCATTCTTAGCCTTCAACAGCTTATATCTCGAGAAACTGATCCTCTTGAAAGCAAAGTAAGCTTATTTGCCACCTTTGGACAACTTTTTCTTTTCATAAATGATGAAATGCATTTTACTGTTTCATTAGCCAGTTGATCTTATTATAGGATTGAAGTTTACTTGTTTCCGAACTACTAACGTATCTTTTTTATTATGAATACAACACTGGTAAAGAAAAATGCTTCCTTTTACATTCATGTGTTTTTGTCTCGGATTAATTCACTTGTCAGAATCCAATTCAGTTGTCTTGGGCGTGCTTGTGAAGGTCTCTTTATCCTTAGACATCAAGTAGCTCTATCTAGGAACGCCATGTAGAAGTTTACACTGGTGAATTTAGATTAGTTTGAAGACAGATTTAAGGTTTCCTAACCGACTGCCTAGGCAATGATCGAGGAACCCGCTTGGGTTTGCAAACAACATATACATTGATCATAATTTAGACCTGTGTCGTGATAATAAGATTTGGCAATTGACATATGTGCAAGATAATTTTGAATCCTTTAAACTTTCTTTAAAGGATAATATAAATATATTTCATATTTTTATTAGATGAGCCTAAGGCCAATGCATACTTATAAGATGGGTACAAGGCCAATTATAAATATTAATTGTTTGTGAACGTGGAGATTTTGTTGGTTTAGTGTTTATTCCTAAGTTTCATAGGAGAATAAGGTTTTATTACGGACACAAGACCAATTACATATGTTAATTCTTTGTGAACTTGAAAAATTCTTCATTGCTGGGTCTGTTGAGTTTAGTGTCTGAAATTTCTAGGTAAGAAACTAAGAAATATACTGCTTGGTTATTAGACAACCTCGAATCTCCTTACCTTCTTGCTTGGAGGACGCTTAATGAGTTGGGTTCTAGGATGCTGGCAGGGAAGATTTTGTTGGTTTAGTGTTTATTCCTAAGTTTCATAGGAGAATAAGGTTTTATTAACTGAGATTACTGTAATAAAAACTTTAAATTAGTATCTTTCGTCCGAAAAGTTCCCTGTATCAATGTTTTGTCTACTGAGACATTGTATCTAATAGCACTGAGCAAATTTCGTCATCCGTTAGATAGATCCAAATGAGGGCTGAACAGCGTAAATAAAAGTGTCCGATTATTTTTGAAATTCCAAGTCAATGGTACTCTAATCCTTTTAAAAATTTATTTGATTTGCTTAAAGCCGTATTTGCAGCGGCTTAAGGGGCTGTTTGGATGCAGGATTTAGACTAAATTATGCAAACAACAAAAATATATCCTACAGAAACTTAAATCCCATTCCTTCTACGTTTTTTCTTAAATCGTGGATTTAATAAATCGGGTAGTTCGCAGATTAATATAATTTAGCCAAAAAAGTACGCAAAAGAGGAGAAATATCGTTACCTTCGTGGCGAGATCTTGTCAATGCTTCCGATCCGACATGAACAATATGAGGGGACGAAAAAGCTTCTTTAGCTACTCTTTCAGCACTCTACACAAAGTAGAGTTTAATTAGCCTTTCGCCCTTTTTTTAATAAATTTAAATTTTGTTTGGGATAGTTTTTTTTTATTGTTTTTTAAAGTAGTTTTTTAGTATAAAATTTTTTTGAACTATAAATCTTTATTTGAAAAAACTAATTTGCGAAACAGTAAAACAGCTGTTCATGGATCGGAACATTTTCCTCTTATCTGCAGATAATTTCAGTTGGTTTCATGAAAGGTGGAGAAGCACACAATGTCATTCCAGAATCTGTCACCTTTGGTGGAACCTTTAGGAGCATGACTACGGAAGGTCTCTACGTCCTTCAGCGACGGATCCGAGAGGTACTTTTATAATTCTCTTCTCCAACACAAAATGTTTAGTCATAACTTTCACCCATTTTAGTTCTTCACCTGCGAGCGGGTATAGCTCAATCTGATTCTGAATCAGTGATAAGTTATCTAACCAAAAATGACTATTAAAATTAGATCCAAAGTCAAATTGATCAAAGATTAATTCTAAACAAACATTGTTGTTGCCAGGTCCCAAGTCCTGGATGAGAAAAGTGGAGGGTTGTGTTAGGTAGTCGACAACCAACATAAAATTTGTCGAATGATCATGACATGAATCCTTTAAAAAAAATTGACTTTTAACAGGGCGTTTGGCTTTTAACAGGCACAATGGAAAAAAAGGATTCATGTAGCCGACCCCACGTAGTGGGACTGTGGGACAAAGGCTTGATGTTGTTGTTATTGAATTCATAACAAATTAAAATGAACCTAACTTCTTTTTTTTCAGTTTGGTATGCTGTTTGAGTTGGAAATTTAAAAATGATGGATAGTTTTGCTTCAATTTAAATCAAATTTTTTGCTTGATTTTACATAAACTTTCGTTTGGGACGACTTTTTTTTATTATTTTGTAATGCTTTTTTTATTTATAAAAACTCTTAAAAACAGGAAAAAAGCAGCGGTCTAAAATTGTCACAAACGAGGCCTAAATGATCAAAATAGTTATAAGGCTTTTTATATGCATATTTTTTTAGTTTCTGATTTTTTCGGGTGTCTAATTTAGTCTTTTAACTCACCAAATCTGAACAAATTTAAACCTTACCGTCGACATTGTTGTTTCTTTTGATGAAAATTGGAGGAAATCTTTCCATCAACTCTTTAATGTGATTAATCATAAAAAAATTTTATAGGCCCTAATCAAAAGTTTTTCTTCAATTTCGATCATAAAAATTTCAAATTGATAGGATGTGATCAAATCAATCTAAATTTGATGAGTTCAGAAATAGGTTGAAGACTTGTAAATTTGAGAATTTACTGGCCATAAATTTACAACCTTTCTGTGTTTGGTTAAAAAGATCAGAACATATAACTTTTAGCTCGTTTCAGTTTTATTTCATTCACTAGAACTCCATAAATTTATCACATTTAACTAAGGCTTCGTTTGGGACAGCTTTCATACTGCTTCCTAAAGCAACTTTCTAGTCTAAAATTTTCAAATTCAAAAAACTTGTGCTAAAAAATTGTTTTAGAAAACAACAAAAAAGCTATCACAAACGAAGCATAAATGATTAAATAAAAACCGAATCTAATCATTGATTGTATACCAGGTCATAGAGGCACAGGCTGCAGTTCACCGTTGCACTGCAACAATCAAGTTCATGGATAAGGCTTACCCTGCAACCACAAATGATGAGAAGCTGTACGAAGTGGTAAGGAGCGTTGGTGTTGGCTTGGTGGGAGAAGCCAACGTCCACCCTTTCCCTCGCCTAATGGGCGCCGAGGACTTCAGCTTCTTTTCACAGAGAATGCCTGCTGTTCTCTTCACTGTTGGAATCAGAAATGAGTCTATTGGATCAATCCACACTACACATTCTCCTTATTTCATCATAGATGAGGAGGTTCTACCTGTGGGAGCTGCTTTTCATGCTGCTGTGGCTCTAACTTACGTAGATAGGGAAGCTTTCGAGCTCTGAATATTCAGGTAATGGTAAGCTACAGTCATATTTTGATTTGATTTTGTGAGATATCTGGAAGTGTTTGTAAAGTGTCAAATTGTTAGTAATTCAGGATTCATTTGAGATGGCTTTCTTACTTCTTCTAAAAGTAGGTTTTTATTACAAAAATTAAAATTTTTGTACTAAAAAATTACTTTAAGGTGCAGTAAGAAAATCATCCCAAACGAAGCTTTAGTTTTGAAAATGTTGGGTGATTTCATAACACTTTATGCTAAATTTATTCTAAAATAGGATTGTCTGATCAAACTAGTGTTGATTTCTAAAAGAGATAATGTTGGTTGAACTTAGGGTAGAAGCATGAAGAGCACAGGATGGGTAATTGTCCATTATGAATTTTTTTTTCTTAGAAGAATAAATATTAACTATTTTGCCAACATGTAATAAATGCTATTTCTCAAATTATATATATATATATATATATATAAATTTTATATCATACATAAAATTATACATTTCACAATCCTATTTGATTGCTCAACCTCAAAACATTGAAGTTATACCTTGTACTTGATTAGTTGAAATGAATCGAGTCCCCCCAACTTTTTTCATCAATGGTAAAGCTTTTTTAAATTTTAGAGTTAAGAGTTTGTTTGAGACGACTGCTATTGTTTCTTCTATCTAATATGTCTAAAATAAGCTGACTGATTTATCAACAAAGATAACTTTTAAATTTTGTATGTTTTATCTAATTTGGTCTTAGTATCAAATCATATTTAGTGGATAAATATATGTGCAACTATTCACTATGAAGGATTATCTAAGGAGTCGTATCAAATGATGTTGAAAGATTCACCTATATGAAAAATGACAATAAAGCTTCTATTGAAGTTATAGGCTTATATAGATTGTCTTTTGAATATGGTTGTATTTTCAATTTATATGAGAATATTTATATATAATCATTTAGCCGAAATCTAATTTTTATTTTCTTCGGCAAATATTGTTTTTTTTTTCATGAAATATTTAGTCTCTTTTAATATTTAAATTATCATTGATTTTTTAATTGATAAACTATATAAATCGGATATATTTGCCTTACACATCAATGAAATTTTGTATATAAATATTTATAATACAAAGCAAAAATTAATGGATAAGAATTATTTTATGTCATGCACAAATATTTAGGATATGTTTCTTAACAAAGAATTGAAAGGCTCATGCTAGATAAATTTTTTGAATACCTTAACTTTTTTATTTTAAAATTTGTATTGAAGGGAAAACAAATAAATTTTAAGAAAATAGGCATCAAAAAGAGTTTAAGTGTCTAAGAATTAATACATATTGATATTTGTGATTCATTTCCTGTCATTTCTTAATATTGTCAATATTATGTTGTTAGTTTTATAGATGATAATTCTCATTATAGGTACATACTTATTACATGAGAAGTTAGAATCCCTGGATATATTTAAGATATTTAAAGTTGAAGTTAAAAATCATGTTGGTAAAAAATTAAAGCTATCTAATATGACCGTACTGGTGAATACTATTGAAGATATAATATCTTAGGTGAACAACGTCCAGACCTTTTTATAAATATTTTGTAGAACGTGGCATTGTTTCTCAATACATTGTTTTGGACTCCAAGTCAAAATGATATTGCAGATAGATGAAATTGAATCCTAGAGGATAGGATAAGAAGTATAATAAGTTATTATTTCTTACCATAATTACTTTGGGGAGAAGCCTTAAAAACTACAATTTTTATTCATAATACGGTTCCAACAAGTAATAGCTAAAACTACATATGAGTTATGGACTTGAGAGATGCATAGTGTTAAGCATCTTCATATTTGGGGATATCCAACTAAGGCTAGGTCATATAAACCTAATGAAAAAAATATATATATAGTAAAGGATCATGAACTTTTATTTTGTTGGATACTCAAAAAGAACTAGGGGCTTTAAATTTTATGATTCTTCAAATAAGTTTTTTAGACGAGCAATATTAAGTTTATTGATGATGTTGAAAATAATTTAAGTGATAAACTCAAATAATTTAATTTTGAAGAGGAATATTTTACTATTACTATAGTTGTAATTGAAAATGTTCGGATAATTATGTCTGATATTATTCATATTTTAAAATTAGAAAATCAAAATACTCTTGAGTAATCTCTTATTCATATAGAAGAATCACAACACCCTGAAATTAAAGTGCCATTGAGAATATCTACTAGGGAGAGGAGAACAAATATTTCAAATGATTGTATTGTGTATCTCTTTTGAACATGAGTTTGATATAGGATTGAAAGTTCATCCAATCTCTTTAAATCAAGTCAAGCTATCTTTTAATTCTCAAAAGTGGATAGATGCTATAAAAGATGAGGTGAAATTAATAAAAGATAATAATATTTGGGATCTTATTGATTGTCTAAAGGAGCAAAATTGATTGGTTGTAAGTGAATTTTTAAATGAAACAAAATTTGGAAGATAATATCAAAAGATATAAGGCACATATAGTCGATAAAGGTTTCACTCAAAAGAAATTTATTGATTATAAATAGACATTCTATCATGTTTCATCAAAAGATTCTTTTAGAGCATTATGGTACTTATAGCTCATTATAACTTAGAGCTACATCAGATGGGATGAAAAGACTATGTTTCTCAATGATGACATTGAAAAAATAATATATATGATGCAACTAGAATGGATCTGAGAGATTTCATTCAAATAAATTTGAAAAAAAAAAAATGGAAAAACATCATTTGTATTGGATATTACAAAAATATATATTGATAAAGTGTTTAGTAAAGATTGTGCATCAGGAGATACACTCATTACTAAAAGGGATAAATTTAATATGTTTCAATGCCCAATAAATGAAATAAAAAAAAGAGACGGAGAATTAGATCCCTCATACTTCTGTAGTGGGGAGTCTTATGTTTGCTCAAGTTTGTAAGCGTCAGGATATTGAGTATATTATTAAAATGCTTGGAAGATATTTAAGTAATTCGGGAATGGATCATTGGAAAATAATGAAACGGGTTATATGATATCTAAAGAGAATAAAATAGTTTATGCTCATATATCAAAGATCTGATTATTTAGAGATCATAGGGCATTATAACTCCAATTTTGATGGTTCCCTAGATAGTAGAAGGTCTACTTCAGGTTATATTTTTATATTAGCTAGAGGAGTTGTGTGTTAGAAGATTGTGAAGTAATCACTCATAGCTTCTTCAACTATGAAAGCATAAATTATAACTTGTTATATGACATCAAATTAAAAAATATGGATACAATATTTTATTATTATGCTAAATATTTTTGATAGCATTAAGAGAACATTAAAAATAAAATGTGATAATATAGCCACTGAGTATAGAAGCTCGTCAAAATCAAAACATATTGACATAAATTTGTTGGGAAAGAAAGAGTTCAAAGTTATGAAATATCTATTGAACATATTAATATGAACTTTATGTTTATGGATCCACTTACAAAAGGTTTACCTCCTAAAGTGTTTCATGAGCATATGGATCATATGTGTGTGATTTATCTTGATAATATGCTAGCATAGTAGGAGTTTATTGATGTTTAATTATTGTATACATATTTTCTGATCAGACTAAAGTATTATTATTATCTCTTTTGTTGAAAACTCTAAAATAAAGTTATTTCGATTGTTGTTTAGCATAAATTATTGAAAATAAATATATTAATAACTTCTATGAGTTATGTATGACCGGTTGGAAATATGCATGTTATAAGATTACATCATACAAATTTTTTATACTAAACATCCATATTTGATATATGTTGTTAATCATATTATTATAGTGATCATTAAGGTGCCTTGTTATAGAAAAATTATGGAAATGATCACTTTGATCATGATGATATTAATATACCATATTGTCTAGAAATGCCACTCCAAGAAGCTAACAATATTGAGCTCTTAAGGTTATAATATATATTTGTCAAGTGATATATGTTGCCCAAGTTAGAGATTAGAATATTTCTATTGAGACCATATAAATATTAAATTATATATTATTTTCTATCTTATTTTTAAGCCAATTAAATTATGATCAAATTAAAGAATATTTGTTATTTGGCTTTTGAGACATCTTATTAATTTTTACATGAAATTAATTATGTGTAGAGACCAAACATTATTATTATTTTTTTATGATGGACTAAAATAAATTAAATGCACTCAAGTATAGATAGTGTCATGGTTTTCAGTCTAAAGGTTAGTTCTTATTTTTACTCACATCCCATCTTGAGTAAAAAACTCTCTCTCTCTCTCTCTCTCTCTCTCTCTCTCTCTCTCTCTTTCTCTCTCTCTCTCAACAATAACAACTCTTTAGATGTTGAAAGCCGAAAACTCCAACTCTGTGATTTAATTGATTCAGGTATGTTTCGACTAAGGCTTCGTTTGGGACGGCTTTTTTACTGCTTATTAAAGTAGCTTTCTTGTAAAAAATTAAAATTTTTGTACTAGAAAGTTGCTTTATGAAGCAGTAAAAACACTATCACAAATGAAACCTAAATCTTCTTGACGATTTGAATCGAGATATTGGATAGATAAATACATTTTTTTCGTCTTCGATCAATTATTTCCAACATGATTAACTAATAGGATTGGTATTTTGATTGGATAAAAAAAAATCAAAGAACGCAAAATCTGATTTGCTTGTATGAAACTCATTGGTTATGCCAAAAAATATTAGCGCAAATCATGATCAGAGCTAGACTACTGGATTGAGTTACCTTTCCACTAATTTTACTTAAATCAATGACGTGGAGAAAAAATATTTTGAAAAACACTAAGCCATAAATCCTTTTGTTCATGAAATTAATTGATGAAATATAGAATAAAATTAAACTAAGTATAAAATTAATTGTTTTATATTAGAAATATATTATAAAATATGATGTCCCATATTTTTTTTATGACTTCATCATAATACAAAGTTTTTTGCTTGTATGAAACGTGTATGGATGACAGTTTACAACCCAATTATCTCCCATCAAAGACAATTCTACCCAACAAACCTTTCAAAAGCCCCTTCATTCTTCCCTATTGATCCACACCTTCATGTTGTACTAGTCACACCAACATTTTCAAGAACATTGAGTCT